GGAATCGGACCCGGGACCTTTCAGTCCTCAGGCTGATGCTCTTTCCACTGAGCCAAACCAGCTGGGGTGGATAAATATTTCTTAAGTGACCCTATTGGAATTGTAGTGGTACAACAAACACAAAATACTCTTCTGGTAGAAATTAAAATAAAACTTGAGGCATGAACTTAAGCTAAGCTTTGTCTAGATATGTAATATGATTCTGTATCTAATTATAATTTAGTGCGATTGGGAGAATAACAAAAATTGTTATTAAAACAAAACAAACTATTAACAAGGATTGTCCAACCTGGAGAAGAATTAGCTCAGAAGCCTTTGGTATCCTGAATGGGAAAGGTTCTTGGATAGTGTGAGCTCCTCTTCCCTGTCTCTATAGAGGACACCTAAAGCAAAAAATGGAACAGATGTGGTGTCCAGGGAACAAGAGCGCAGCTCATTCATGCCTCAGACAAGATGCAAAATAGCACGAGTAGAGAAGAAGCTAGTGAACTTCTCTCTTTCTCCACCCACTTTGTCTTCGCATCATTTATAGAAAAGAACCCAACAGAAGTATTTGGCTCTTTTGTGGGTACTTTGGCAAAGTTACATGTGTTTGGAAAATACTAAGTCACGGTGTAAGCTATAAGAATGAGGATAAACAAACATGTGATATATCCAGACAGTGCATACTACTCAGCAATAAGAAGGAACAAACTAATGATACACACCACAAACAACATGGCAGCATCCCAGAAACACGCTGTGTAAAAGGATTACACAAAAGAGCACATACTTCCTGGGCACGTCCTGGGGCGAAGGTGCTTTTCTGTACGTTGATGGGGTTTGGGTTACACAGGTGTATACAAATGTATAAGGTTTGTGCATTTCATTGTATGTACATTTTACACCAATTATTGAACTCTAGTTAGTGATACCATGGTGCATTATTTAAGGAGAAATGTATTGGTGATTACAGTTTACTTCGAAATTCATAAATGAGACTGGTGAATAGATGGGTCAAATAAGAATAAGTACAGTAAAATGTCAGTGGTGGAATCCAGCTGGTGGGAGTTCACTGTACAGTGCTTTCCACTTTGTTGTGTGTGTTCATCCTAAAATATTGTTGAAAAGATTAAACTTTTATTTCCTAAGGTTACATGGTATTTAAGAATATGATATTTTAAAATTTCTTTTTGTTATAGGTTGATAGTTTGCTTTCTGAGAGTCAATTGAAAGGAACTCTAGAAACCAGTAAAAGGCGAGATATTTACCAAAGGTAAAGCATACTCAATGTTATAAGCTTTCCAAGAACTGTACTTGCATTGCAATGAGCTGTGTTTACAGAATTGAAACTGTTTACGGCATTATTTCTTTCTGTTTTTATTAGTAAAATTAAAAAAACTGATAATGAGAAATATTGAGGTACCAATGAAATTTTTCAAAATGTATTTAAAAAGATTTCTTGCAATTATCTAGATCTATCAGGTCTAAATATTGGAATGATAAGATTAAATTGAGAATTACAAATCTTAAAAAGAGATAACTTAATTTATTTTGTATTCTGCATGTACCAAGCAGTGTGGTCTACACCCTGAAAACTATTCCTGATTAATTCTCACAATACACCGGGAGAAAATTGAGGTTCACAGTGGTTCGTTAACTTCTCTAACATTACTTTGCTCTGAGACATTAGAGTGAAGGGGCAATAAAAATACCTTAAGTTTGCTGAGAAACGCAGGGTTCAGTGAAGCAAGAGGAAGAGCATTGCTGAAGTTGCCATGGAGGTGCGGGCTTTGGCCCATTTGAATCCAGTGGAGGAATTACATGGTGGCCTCACTTGGATCTAGGAGAAACCACCCTAAACCTGAAGGTGGTGGGCTTGCTGTTGTGACAGCAACTAAAGAAACTGCTGAGTGAACGTGGTGGCTGAGGCAGGATTGTGGGAGGTCCTTGGCCTGTGTAGGCCCAGGTCCTGTGACCTGGTCAGACATCTCTACTAACAGTTCCAGCTTCCTTAAGGTGGGAAAACGGTTCTCTTGGTGGATAAGTGTTTCTGTTTTGTTTTGACATGTTTTTTTTAATCCCTGGAAAAGTTTAAAATAAAATAGAGTTTAAAATTATATAGTCATAATGAACTAAATTGAATTAGATTATTAATACTTTTGTATTGTTTAGGACATCATTAGGATAATCTGTGTGTTTGGGGTATTTAAAGAGTTTATAACATTCAGAAGAACATTAGAGATTCATTCTACTAGTTTAAATGATTTACTAGAATCATTGGAAAAACTTACTGAAGTCAGGCAAAGTGCTTAAAAGCAAAATTAAGTTTATATGAATTTTAAAGTGTCTAAGGGGATTTAATTAACTACATTTATTAGTAGGATTGATTGATTAAGGAATTTAGGTCAAGTTTTAAACAATAGTGAAAGAAAAAGTGAAGGTGATTGTACTTGCTTTACTAGGCTTAAAAATAGAATAAGATTTATAGGCTGAATTTGAAGCTCCAGGAAAAACTGGGTTTTAAAATTTTATTTTAATAGCCCTAGCCTGTTTGGCTCGGTGGATAGAGCATCAGCCTGCGAACTGAAAGGTCCCAGGTTCGATTCCGGTCGAGGGCATGTACCTTGGTTGCAGGCACATCCCCGTTAGGGGGTGTGCAGGAGGCGGCTGATCGATGTTTCTCTCTCATCGATGTTTCTAACTCTCTATCCCTCTCCTTTCCTCTCTGTAAAAAGTCAATAAAATATATTTTTTTAAAAATGTTATTTTAATAAACTAATTATTTTTAAACCCAAATAACCATAAAATAGTCTTCTCTGTGTATAAAAAGACCTCCTCACAGTCATTTTAAAGATTCACATTGAGATTTGCATGTCTGAAAGTGTATTTTAGCCTGTATGTTTGATTAATAATTGGCTGGAGGGAGATAAAGTAAAAATAATTTCTACTTAAACATTTGAAGACATTGTCAGGTTTCTTCACACCCAGTGATGCTAAGTTTGATGACCATTCCTTTCTAACTGACCTGTTGGGCTTCTCTCTTCAGCTTGGGTGTTTTGAAATTTTATCATGATATCTTTGTGGTTTTTATCTTGCTCAACATTCATTGTGTCTTACTTTTTTAAATTTTATTTATTTATTTATTTATTTTATTTATTTTTAATTTTTGTATTACAACATGTTTATGACTCTGGAGTAGAGAAGAATTTCTTAAAAAGATACAAAAGCAAAATTAATAAAGGAAAGTATTTTAAAAAATGGATACACTAAAATAAACTCCTATGCTTCAGGTTTATCATAAACAGAGTTAAAAGATGAGTCACATATTGGAAGAAGACATTCACATCACAGATAACCAACACAGGATTAGTATCCAGAACACAAGTATATTTAATTTTTATATAGGTATAATTTCCATATATACAATAATACACATGGGAAGTAGCAAACCTTTTGACATGTATAATCCATTCCACAGACTACTAATTTCCTAAAAAGTATTAGGAAGCATTAAGGGTAGTCTCTGGTTTAAGTGTTCTACATCTAAATAATTTTGATAATGTTCTGATCTCCTAAAATTATTTTTAAGTATGAATTTTTGTTGTTGTTGTTTAATGATTTTCAGAGGGAGAGGAAGGGGAAGAAGGAAGAGGAAAGAGAGGGAGAGAAGAAGAGAGAAAGAGAGAGAGAGAGAGAAACATCACTATGAGAACACAACATCCATCAGCTGCCTCCTACACACCCCTACCGGGAATTGAGCCTGCAACCTGGGCATATGCCCTTGACTGGGAATCGAACCAGCAACCATCTGGTGCACAGGATGACATTCATCCAACTGAACCACACTGGCCAGAGATTAAGTATGAAATTTTATATCCAGTATGGATATATCAATATGTTTTGCCAACAAAGCATTGAGAATCTTGTAAAATTCTGTGTTATCATTGAATGGGAGAATCAATCAGTGAATGGGAGAAAACACACTGTTCACTGAGTAAAACAAAATGGTAAAGATACCCATGAAAGAGAAACAAAAATAATATTAAATACAATTTTATAGTTACCACCATCAAATGGTAGAATGCTAAACTATTTTATAATACTGCCAATCTCTTCAGGGATGAGAAATGTAGAAAAGCCATTTAAGTTTTATTGATTAAAAATGAAGACGATGCAGTCATATGTTACATTTTTACAATAAAGCCTAGCTGTGGTCTAAGGACAGCTAATTCTGCGAAGGCTATAGTTTGACTAAGGGCCACTATTTATTTAAAAAGTTAGGATTTTTTTATTCCACAGTGATACTAGGTGATTTTGATATTTTATCATCTATTTTCAGAAGACTGATTAAAAAGTGTCTTTTTAGGAACACAGAGATATTCTCTATCTGTAAAAAGGAACGATTACTTGTTAGGGACAGAAACCATTACAGTGCTTCTGGAAACAAAGGCCACTTTCTGTGAGAGTTGGCACACACTGTGATTTTTAAAATACTTTTTATTGATTTTACAGAGAGAAAGCAAAGGAGAGAGATAGAGAGAAACATCAATTTGTTATTCCACGTATATTTGCATTCACTGGCTGATTATTGTATGTGCCTTGTCCAGGCGTCAAACCTGCAGCCTTGGAGTATCAACACAATGCTCTAAACAACTGAACTACCTGGCTAGGGCCACACACTGTGATATTCTGACCAATGCAATATGTTTGGGACTCAACATCAATTTAACGTAATAATTTAATCTAATGGTTTCATTTCACATGGGAGGAAAACCCATCAACTTGTCAAAACACTGCATTCTCAAATAGTTATAATAAGAGCAAAATACTCATCAAGGTCAAAGAAAAATAAGTATATTTCCCTAAGCATTTGTATCATTTGGTAAAGTTTTTTTTTTTTTCAATGAAAATGAAATATCTTCTTATCTAATGTTCTTTAGAAATACTTAGCTATGGCCTGAAGTTTTCAGCAATGTCTTTTTAATGGGAAATTTAATTATAAAACTATACTTTTTTTCTTTTCAAGGAAACAGTCATTTTTTATTTCACAACCAGTAAATCCCATCTACCACACCACCGTGGTAGCACAGCCGGGATCAAGGCCAGTGCTGCCCAAGAGAACTTTCTGCGCTGATGGAAATGTTTGCCCAGTACAGTAGCCACTTAACCACTCTGGTTACTGAGCACCTGAAATGTGGCTAGCACAGTGGGGGGAGTGAAATTTTAATTTAAATTAACTTAAATTCAAATGCCACGTTGGCTGGTTGCTACTGTACTACACAGTGCAGCTCTAAGCTCTGGCCTAGCCCAGGGGCACTTTGGAGAGAGCAAGTACCAGAAACAGTCCTTGGGGTCACAGCACCCCTCCCCAGAGAGAAAGAGCAGCCGGGCCATGAGGGTCAGGTCTCAGGGTCTCAGAGCGGGGGACGCCGCGGGCACGCCGGATAAGGTTAGCCAGCCTCTTGGCCAGGCCGCCCGTTCTGGGCTCCTCGGTGTGGAAGGTCCGGGTGAGGAGGCTGTAGAAGGAGCCGTAGCACACGGCCACCACCGCGCACGTGAGGCAGATGACGTTGTCGGGCATGCTGAAGTCCGGCGTTGGCAGGCTCACCAGGAGCGGCTCCGTGTAGAGCCGCAGGAAGGAGCTGGAACTGTCGGAGACTGGGAACAGGCTGCTGAAGAGGGGACTCTCTTCCCAGTCCACGGGCTTGGCCGCCACCACGCTGGGCACGAGGGCACTGAGGACAGACGGGCTGACGTAGAAGCCGTGGTTGGGGTCCGGGGTGTACTCCGTCCACTTGAGCAGCGCCCGCTCAAACTGGATGGAGACCTTGGTGACCGAGCTGGCCGGCAGCTGAATGAGCATCTCCAGGAGGTGGGGCTGCAGCCGGTCCTGGGCAGGCTGGTAGTGGATGTAACTTGGCTGGTTCTCCTTGCCCTTGGAGGTGATGGTAACGGTGTGCACACACAGCCGCAGGTACCAGGGCACGATGTCCAGGAGCAGCACGGGGAAGGCCCGGTCCGGGTGGGTGTTGTACAGCAGCGTGCTCCGCTCCCCGCTCTGCAGCCCGGAGCCACTCACGTACCGCTGGGCGTGCAGGAAGGGCACTGGCGGGGCCTCATTCTCCGGGGGGCTCTTCCACTTGAGCTGGAGGTTGAGGTTGCGGGAGCTGTTGACTTTAAGTGGCTAATTTTCAACATGCCAGTTCAGAGAAAAATATCTGCATTTCTAGGACTTATGTTGCAGTTATATATTTTGAAATTAAAAATTATAAAGACTTGATTTTATCCTAGAAATTCAGTGCTTCTGAGTTGGTGTATCACAATATGGCACATTTTCTAAAAGAAGGTCTTTCCTAGGAACCAATTTCAGTGTATTGTGGTCTGTGTGAATACCTTGTACAACAGATGTTCTGAGCAACAATTCCACATCAGAACCTATTTTTATTAGCTCTTCTATTTTCTTAGAAGAAGCTTCATTTTTATTATTTTTGAATTCTTCATTTATTTTTATTCTGGCTGCTTACCGCCGATGCCTGGGTCTTACCGCAGAGTCTGGTTGAGTTGACCTGGGTTGCAGCCAGGTTTTTGTTAAAAACTCTCCAAGTGATTTTAACGCGCAGTTCAGGTTGAGAATCACATGGTATGGAGGCCGAGAAGTCCCATGATCTGCCGTCTGCAAGCTTAGAGAACCAGGAAAGCGGTTGTATAATTCAGTCCAATGTGAAGGCCTGAGAACCAGGGCTGCTAGTGTAAGTCCCAGAGTCTGAAGGCTGGAGAACCAGGAGCTCCGATGTTGTTCTGGATGCGGCTTCCTGGGCGGCGGGACCTGAGAGGCGCCGGTCCCCAAGGCTGGGGGGTTAAATGGGGTCAGGCTGCAGGGACGCTGTGGGCAGAGAGGAGTCCTGGAGGCACGGAGGCCCCACTCCCAGCCTGTTGGTGCTCAACAAGCCTCAGACACACCCCGCACAGCAAGGACGCTGCCTCCTAGGCCTCCTCCTACTCAGGACCAGTGGGCTGAAGCCTGTGAGTCCTTGAACTGAAGAGGTCAAAATGCCCGCCAGGAGGAGGAAGGTGGAAGTCCCCCTTACTTTTTTTTAAATCCTCACATGACAATATGTTTTTTAAAAACTGATTTGAGAGAAAGAGAGAGAAACATCAATTGGTTGCCTCCCATATGTGCCCTAACCAGGGATCGAACCCCCAACCTAGTTATGTGCCCTGACCAGGAAGTGAACTGGCAGCCTTTTGGTGCATGGGACAATGCTCAAACTTACTGAGCCACCTGGCCAGGGCCCAGTGCATCTTTTCAGTTTGACAACTCATGTCTCTCATGAGCTCTAGGGGATTTTCTTTTATTAAAAGACTAGAGGCCCGGTGTACAAAAATTTGTGCACTCGGGGGGGTCCCTCAGCCCAGCCTGTGCCCTCTCGCAGTCTGGGACCCCTTGGGGGATGTCCACCTGCTGGGTTAGGCCTGCTCCCTGGGGGGGAGTCAGACATCCCTCTGGCAGCCTGGGAGCCCTTGGGGGATGTCCACTTGCCAGCAGGGAGCAGGCCTAAGCTGCAGTTGGACATCCTTAGCGCTGCTGAGGAGGCGGGAGAGGCTCCTGCCACCACTGCTGTGCTGGCAGCCATCAGCCTGGCTTGTGGCTGAGCAGAGCTCCCCCTGTGGGAGTGCACTGACCACCAGGGGGCAGCTCCTGCATTGAGCATCTGCCCTCTGGTGGTCAGTGTGTGTCATAGCGACCAGTCATTCCCAGTCATTCTGCTGTTAGGGTCAATTTGCATATTACCCTTTTATTATATAGGATAGAGGCCTGGTGCACGGGTTGGGGCCAGCTGGCTTTCTCTGAAGGGTGTCCCGGATCAGGTCCCGCTGGGGTGCCTGGTCAGCCTGGTGAGGGGCTGAGGGCCGTTTTCAGGCTAGCCACACGCCCTTCAGGGCGGGGAGGGTCCCGCTGGGGTGCCTGGCCAGCCTGGGTGAGGGGCTGATGGCCATTTTCAGGCTGGCCATGCCCCCTGGTGACTCAAGCTCCCAGCCTCTCTCTCCTTTTTTTCTTTTACTTTTTTTTCAGCGGGCGGGCTGGAAGCAGGTATCTGGGATTTATTTATCTTCTATAATTGAAACTTTGTAGCCTTGAGCAGAGCCGAGGGCCGGCCAGGGCAGGAGGGAAGCTTGGCTTCCGCCATCGCTGGGGCAACCCAAGCCTCCTGCTCTCTCCAGCTCCATGGCTGCCGCCATGTTAGTTGGGTTAATTTGCATACTCGCTCCTGATTGGCTGGTGGGCGTGGCTTGTGGGTGTAGCGGAGTGACAGAGTGATGGTTAATTTGCTCATGTCTCTCATGAGCTCTAGGGGATTTTCTTTTATTAAAAGACTAGAGGCCCGGTGTACAAAAATCTGTGCACTGGGGGGGGGGGGGGTCCCTCAGCCCAGCCTGTGCCCTCTCGCAGTCTCTTTTATTAGTGTAGATGAGTTTTTTACTTTTGTGTGTCTTTTTCTTCCTGAAACAGCTTTGAGTCAGGGAGCCTCCTGGACTATTTTTTTGGTCTCTTGTCTCCCCATTAATATATAGTTTTTGTTTCTGTGTCTTTTTGTTTTTGCCTGGGAGATGCTCTTGATTTTTCTTTAACTTCCTATGGAATGTTTGATTTTTAACAGACACATTGGCAACTTAGAAGTGTTTTTTCTTGCTCTTTTTCATAACATCATGCTCCTGTTTTCAGATGATCTCCTTACTACTTTCATGATTAGGAGATTTTTTAAAAGTTTTCTTCTGTTCTCTGAGTTGTCTTTATTTAATGTCGGTGAGTCTTAAATTTTATCTTCCATGTTGCCGGTTTTCTTTATTACATCTGGTGGTCTTTGGGTTATCCATTTTTATTTAAGAACTAGAGGCCTGATGCATGAAATTGATGCAAGAATAGGCCTTCCTTTCCCCGGCTGCCGGCACTGGCTTCCCTCTGGCACCCGGGACCTGGGCTTCCCTCCGGCTGCCGGCAGGCACCCGGGACCTGGGCTTCCCTCCGGCTGCCGGCAGGCACCCGGGACCTGGGCTTCCCTCCGGCTGCCGGCAGGCACCCGGGACCTGGGCTTCCCTCCGGCTGCTGGCAGGCACCCGGGACCTGGGCTTCCCTCCGGCTGCCGGCAGGCACCCGGGACCTGGGCTTCCCTCCGGCTGCCGGCAGGCACCCGGGACCTGGGCTTCCCTCCGGCTGCCGGCAGGCACCCGGGACCTGGGCTTCCCTCCGGCTGCCGGCAGGCACCCGGGACCTGGGCTTCCCTCCGGCTGCTGGCAGGCACCCGGGACCTGGGCTTCCCTCCGGCTGCTGGCAGGCACCCGGGACCTGGGCTTCCCTCCGGCTGCCGGCAGGCACCCGGGACCTGGGCTTCCCTCCGGCTGCTGGCAGGCACCCGGGACCTGGGCTTCCCTCCGGCTGCTGGCAGGCACCCGGGACCTGGGCTTTTCTTGCAGCCCCGGCTTCATCCAGAAGGTGTCCAGAAGGACATCCGGGCTAATTAGTATATTAAGCTTTTATTGTTATAGATGAGGGACTAGGCTGATTAGTCTAGAGAGCCTTATAGAATTTTCTACTGTTGTGTAGCCAGTTTCCTTCCTACTGGTACTCCCTTATGAGAATGGAGTTCTCTGTGTGTGGGCAGGGATTTGCAGGGGCTGGGAGTGAGCCTTTAACCTGAGGAGCCCGCAGTGGTAGAGTAGGTGGCCTGTACCCTGGTGTACAGGGAAGTTCTTTAGCACCTAGAAGTCTCCCCAGGTCATTCATTATTTTTTTTTTTAGAGAAGAGTGCCCTGGTAAGGAGGGAGAGCAGGGAGCGGGGAGGTAAGAGAAAGGGGAGCTAACTGTCAGGCTTTCTGTACATAAACAGGCTTATTTAATAGTCAAAGACTTATACAAGGGCCTTAACTAAATCTGAGCTTAATCAGCGTCTTTACTCTTTCCTTGCATAATAGAAAGACCTTGGCTTGCCCTAAGACTGATTTCCCTCTTCATAGCTTAGATGTTATGGACATGATTTAATTTATATAATACACGATAATGCAAATAACACCCCAATATATATAGCAAGCCCAGCTGTAGCCACTTTTGGTTGTATTTATAGTTCTCACTTGGATGTCTAAGACTTAAGCTAAATGCTATGAGCTGTCTGTGGAATAACTAAACCCTAGGTGAATGGACAGGCCGAGGTCAAGGGGACGAGCACTGTGATGGGAAGAGACCGCTGTGGGGTCCTCGGCTCTGCCTCCATGTAGTTACTCTCCCATTGACGGACTGTGCTCACCTTTTAGAACCTCACTTTCTCCATCTGGAGGGAGGGTGGCTCTGAGGGTCGAATGAGGCGGTGCCTGTGAACTGTTAGCTTCCCCCTTGGGGCACACCACCTGTTAGCCGTATCCTCATTCTCAGGGTCCTCTTGGCTGGGTCCTAGGCTTGTGGGCTTTAGTGTGGGTGGAGGAGCATTTTCAAGTCCGGTGCTGTCCTTATTTTAGAGGCAGGACCCTGAAGCCCGGGGCCACTTAGCTTTCTGAGCTTTGGTTATCACATCTGTGCGCCTCAGAGCTGGGCTGTGAGGATGCCAGGCTAATGGGTGGAAAAGCATTTACATGTGCATTTTATTTACATGTGTATTTTTATTTATTTAAAATATTTATGATATATTTGCTTATTCACATAAGGTTTTCTACAGTTTAAAAATGTTATTAATGATTTCAGAGAGAGGAAGGGAGAGGGAGAGATAGAAACATCAATGATGAGAGAGAATCATCAATTGGCTGCCTCCTTTTGCCTCCCTCTCTGCTCCCCCCGGGGATTGAGCCTGAAACGGGATCTCCTGGTTGATGGATCAACGTTCAACCACTGAGCCACAATAGCGGGCTACATGTGTATTTTTAAACATAAGCCATATAATCACTAACTGCCTTGCCTGCTTAAAGTCTTATGCATGACTTTATAGACTAACTTTTTGGTTTTGACAATAGAAAAATCAATATATTTTTCTCTCTTTTTAAAAATTTAGGTGTATCCAATTAAAACAGGCAATCGATGAAAATAAAAATGCTCTTCAAAAATTAAGCAAAGTAAGTATTACAGACACTCATATCCCAGAACATCTGTCTCACAGATGTTTCCATGCAGACTGACTCTCCATTTGGGAACCTGCGGATGCGTTTCCCAGATGTGGAAACAGGTTCCAGAGGTGGAGCAGCTTTCCTGGCTCACTGCCTGGGAGGGGGCGCTTGGGAGGGGCCCGCCTTTATGACAGAGCCATCTGCCTGGGAGGTAGCCCTTCCCACTGCAGAGCATCTGCAGGACCTAGAAGGGAACACAAGAAGAAGCAAGTAATTTAATTTTTTGTTTGGTTTACATTCTAACCATCTACATTTCTTTTCATCTTATTTGCCTAACGGAGGCCTAGTCTCATACTGCTATTTACTTTGTCTTCTAGCACATATAGGAGTTGTCTTTTCTTTTAAAGTAAATACAATAGAAAACAAATACATTTTTCAGTGAAATGGACTCATGTTCTCTCCAGGCCGATGAACCCGCACCTGTTGGAAACTATCATCAGAAAAAGGAGGAGGAGCTCAGTCTCTTGGACAACCTGACCCGCCAACTGCAGGAACTCGCCGTGTCCATAAGTAGAGAAAGTAGAACTGAGTATGCCGCTTCCCTTCCTTTCAGATGTGAGGCCACCAGTTTTAATGTTTCACTCAGGATACAGACACAACAGTACAGCTATAAACAGGTGGCCGTAGCAGGATAGTCAGTGGACACTGGTCACAGGGCACAGTAGACAGTGTGAGAGCCCAGCAGTCACGCAGAAGACCGCAGTCCTGCTTGGTTGATGTTCAGTGACGTCAAACAGCCGTGTTGTGTATTTGTCCAGATTTTAGAGCTGTTTCTGGTTTGAGGGTTAAGTTCAATACCAGCTACTTTATCCTTCTCAGTACTGGAAATCAGTGGGAGTTCTAGAGTCCTTGCACCTCCATCCTTAGCATTTTCCCAGGATACAGCATAAAGATAAGGGAGCAGCATTTGAGGACTCGGAATGGTTAATGTGTTCCTTTCTGCTTCCCACAAATTGGGCTTGTTTAGATCATCAGGTTCCTTCCACTTTGCAAAGGCTGTTACCCACCCTCCAGCAGGAAGCAGGCATGTTCCTGCCTCCAGCTTTCAAAGAATAGTTATGCAAGGAGAGCGTATGCAAGCAGATGATCCAAATAATTTTTTTTTTACATACGAACATTGACATTAAAGGCAGCATCTTTATTTTCATACATCTGTTTATTTAGCTTTTCAGATCTCGACTTTGTTCTCCAACTAGATGATAAATTACCTGAGGGCAAAATTGTGACTTCCCTTCTTTCCCCCTCCCATGGGACCTGACACTTTCTGCTGCAGTCTTCGTATGAATACTACACAGCACTTCAGCAGTATGTTTGGGGCCACTTTAAATGACAGAATTGCCAACAAAAAGCACAAAAATGCGAAATTCCTGGTACTAAATAGATTGTAAAAAGGAAACTTGTTTTCAGACCAAGAGCCGAAAAGAGAAGGCAGAGTGTCGCCTTGTTCAGCCTCTGCTGTGAGCGTGTGGATCGGGCAACTTGAATTTTTTGCTGCTTTGCACTCATTTGTGCAAGAACACAGAAGCACTGCAAGTGTTGATTGGGGTTACCAGATACATTTTAGCAAGTAGGTGAATTTACAAATATGGAATCTGCAAGTAGTAAGGATCAACTCTATGCAGAAATCAATATGTGACAACAGAGGCACAGGAGTAGCTTAAAGGGCCGGCAGGGTACATGGGATGATATCATCTTAAAGGTCTTTCATTTTGGGTGAAATGTAAGATTAATTCAGGTTAGACTATGGTAAGTTAGGGATGCATATTGTAAAACCTAGAGCAATCACTACTAAATAAGGGAAAGAAGTAGCTAAGAAAACCAACATAAACAATAAAATGAAATCCTAAACACGACCACTTTAAAGGTAAGCTTCTACAACATAAGCTGTAGGAGTCTCCCAAGCACACAGTGTCTGTCGCGCAGTAGGTGTCCTGTAAACATTTGATGACTTTGCTGAATGTTGAATGAATAAGTAACACTCAGAGTTTTAGTGACTTATCCCAGCCAGTATTATTTACACTCCTCTCCCTTCCCTCACCTTCCATTTTACCTCCTTCATATCTTTCCAAAGTCTTTCTCTTCCTCCTTAATCCTGTTTTCTTAGTCCATACTGTGGCCCTGTGTCACTCATAACAGCCATCTTTCCTTTAGCCCTTCCTCCAGTCTGTTCCCCATGTGTAGCCATCTTTCTAAAGTGCGGAGCAGATCCTGCCCTTCTCTTACTTCATCTTAGGGACTTGACATCTTTGCATGATGCTCACCTCTTCGCAGCCTCCCCTCCCCCATTTCTCCAAGCCTGTCCTGCCGTTAGTGACCTACTTGAGGCTCCCTGATCTTGAGCCCCCTTTCTCCCTTCCTCCTCCTCCTTGCTACTTCCTTTTACCTGATTAACTCCAACTCATCTCTCAAGACCTATTTCTGTCTTTCCTGATCCGCCGTCATGCGGTCTAGGTTAGGTGTCCCTCTTGTGTTTCCTTAGCATCCCGTGTGTGTCTCCAGGCTAGTACCTATTGAGCTCTGGAGTAATTATCCATTTTCTAGATTCTCCTTGAGAACGGGGAATTGAGTCTGGCTCACCTGTGTAGCCACTGTGTCTGACACGGACCAGCGTCGTCAGCGCCGACCTTTATTACAAGCGTGCTGTGGGGCAGACACTGTTCCAAACACTGCGAGTCGGTAACTCATATACTCCTCATGAAGCAAGTGCTGTTATTATCTCCACTTTATCA